AAAAGAGGAAATTTATTTTTGCGTCGAAATAGGACAGTTGCACGCGTACACACCTGTTTGCTTTCGAACCTTGTGCAGGAGAATCTGAAAGGTAGCCGAGGTGTTCCCCACAGGCTGCTCGAGCACGGACAGGGTGACTGCGGAGAAGGCGAGTTTGCAGAAGCGCGCGAGGTAAGTTAGGCTCTTGAAAAAAATAGAAGCAAAACATCTGACAGTAAGTTGCCAATCCCGACTGCGGAGGGCATTTTGTGTTAGGGGGATGAAAGGCTTCTTTTGGACTGTAGAGACCTAAATGCCCCCGAAGTGTTCTTTTTTTTCGAAGAAAACATTGGCTAGGACCAATTTCTGATCGTTGGAGTTACAGGAGTATTAGGAATGCATACCTTAGATCAACTATGTCTGTCCTAAATGCTCTGGTCATCCCGCGCACTCAAACTTTGGTCAACATTATTGCTGTAAGGTAATGTTTTGGGGAAGGTTGAGTAAAAAGGAAACACTCGAGCAAATGAAAATAGAATAAATAAAAGTGCAGAAAATAGGAGGATGTATCTTTGACACAAAGCTATCTGCAATTTTGCTTTTATTTCGGGCCATGTTAAAGGAAGTGCAATGGAACCTCAGTAAACGAGTTTAATCCGCTCCGACACTAACCTCGTCATACAAAATGCTCGTCTTGCAAAAAATAGCCAATCAAACTACATCAGTTCTCTAATTAGATGCAGGCGACCGAGGACCCACGCTATGGGAGCAAGCCCCCATGGCGCACACAGGCCCCTACACACGCTGACCACTCGTTAAGTAAGGGGAATCTCGTCAATCGAAACCAATTGGGTTAGGAACTATCGTGAGGTCCCATAGTGCATGCGAAGCGCGCTCCATTCCAATACAGGCAACTGGTTTCAGGAGGTAGAATAGGTGTGGCATATTGGGGAGCAAATCAGAGCGCAATAATTATGTAAATTAAGAAAGTTACGTGTGTAATTTGGGAGGGGGGGCTGTTGTTCGCTGGCCTTGGGCGAGTTTACTGAGGTACACTTTTTCAAAAGCATCACCAACACCAACTGGATTAACGGTGGGCGAGCAAAAAAGCTGAAAGATTGTGGAAATTCACCCTACTTATAATAAGTAAGTTAGCGGTTATTCCCATGGTTAATTTGAAAAGTCAGTTTGTCTAATAAGCTGTCTTAATCGATT